GTTTCAGAGAATTGTATGTACAATATTAGAACGACACCATTATTCTATAGATATGGTTCTGGGTTTTATTGTCACAATGTTAATATGGCAGTGCAAAGCGTTACATAGAGATTTGCCTAGGGTGCCACACAATTTATTTTTACATTTAAAACAGTTGTTTTCTCCAAAAGTTTATTCAATTCTCAAAGAAGTGTAGTATATGATCAGACACAGCATGATTCACTAGGCTTTTTTGAATAATTGATCTACATCACGACGTTCCCAGATCTAAATACGAATGTATATATATATATATATATATTTATTGTTGAATAAAGAATGATAAATTATTACTTGTAAATACGATTCGGAGAGTGTGATCATCTGGGGTAAGACATCAATCACGTGTAAATCTTGCAATTCGTACCAAATGCCTGAGCCCTAGGCGAAGAAAGAGAAAATTGAGTGATGTTTTCACACTTTCAGCAAACCTTATGCAGAACATGAACTCGATAGGTGCCTTTTCCTACAAATAGAAACCTTCAATAAAACAATAATGGAGGATACGAATGTAGAACTGACCTGGTTCGCCATCGTGAACAACATTCGAAATCAGATCATAAGTTGTCGATGGACTTTCAGTGAGCGCCGATGGGTCAATACGATGTTCAGGCAACAATTCACGAAGATCGACGTTTCTAGAATAGTTAAAAAACGTTTTTTCTCCCCGCAAGTATCAGCGAAAACAATGTGCTATTCAAATATTCACATTACATTTACTCTCCCTAATCTCTTTGTTTCACATAGACATAAGATTAACTGAGTTTTACGAAAGAAGTGTTCGAATTTACTTTGAATATCAGACGCCAAAAACTCTCATTTTCTCGCTGTAATACATACTTAATTGGAAAGTTGACGATTGTAGGATTCTTTTCCAGAAAGAACGTGTTCTTTGTAAAACGCTGAAATGAAAACAAGAGCGTTGACAATCAGTTTATCAAATTACATATCTTACTCGAAAGCATAGAATCAAGTACGGTGGTAGTTTAATGATTTCATAACGTCTGAGAAAGTTATCCTTGTGTGTTTTCAATTCTTGTGCTGTTTGTCCATCGAATTTAGTTAGAATTTGAAAAAGTGGCACTTGTGGAATGATGCTTTCTTTGAGTTCGTCACGAAACAGTGGTGGCGGTGGTAAATCAACAGATAGGAACAAGTACGGTGTTTCTTCACTCGATTCTTCAGAGAAAAATTCGAAGTCATTCACATCGTAGATGTTTAGTAGGCTTACCTTGGTATTCTTCGGTTGCTAGTAGTTTTCGTTTCTCATCTTCGCCCTAATAGGAAAGAACAGTTTTCAAATTCGAACTTTGCATTTGATACTTACCATATCCACAGGTGGAATTTTTCGTGTGTAAACTCTCATTTTGCCTTGGAAAGCTTTGTAGATAATACTACTATTAGCGCTCTTCGTTCCATTTAACGTCAAATGAAGACTATTGAGTAGCCATGCAAGAAATTCAACTGGATCACCTTGCTCCGTGATCTGAAAGCGTTTTTTACTACATTTAACAACTGCTTGTAACATTTCATGTGGCGAAACGTGAGCTTTGAAATTTCTCGGATTCCATAATTTGCGAACTAATTCACCGAAACGTTTGACAAGATTGACCATTATATCACCAGGTGCAACACGTATGTCAGCATAATTATCTTCTTGAAGGAAATAATCACGTAGCGGGCCAACATTGATCAACGCCTAAATTTCTAACGGAGAGAAAGAATTTTCGCGATGAAGAAAGGATTTACTTGTAAAATAACATTGCAGTAATCATTTGCCTTGATATTATTCAAACCAACGATACCTAAAAGCACACACTGGATAGTGGAAACCAGTTATTAAAATGTTCACTTACCAGGTAGATATAGAGTTCCATCATAAGCACGAACCATTTTTTCATTTTTATCTAAATTTTCTATTTGTTCGTTTGAATACGTTGGATTCAAGACATACTAAACAAAAAATCAGAATGATATACACATCGAACATGAAACTTTCTCATACTTTAATATCATCTAACGACGAATCGATAATTTCATAGTTATCCGGTAGACAAAAGATTTGTAAGGAAAGCAGATTGATAAAAACATGATGTTCTGCTTCTACACTATGAGTATACGCACAAGATTTCTGTCCTCGACCTAGAACAAACGAAGAACTTGTATTTGGCACTGAAAACATTCGATCAGTAACCTTGAAAGTATTTGCCGCACACTAAACAGGCATAGACATTGTTATTCAAAAGTGTAATTGAACAAAGCTTCTCAAAATCGAAGTCCAGCACACTCCTACGATAAAAGTTTAACAACATTATTTTTTCTCATTCGATAAGCGAAACGTACCGATTAATCGTATCTAAGTATGGACAATTTCGACTACGACTATCCACTATCGTTGGTTCCGCTTTAATACTTGTATGGATCATCTCCCGCAATGTTGTACCAACAACCGGTATACCTAGCATATGGAAAAGACAAGAATGGTTGATTGAACAATGCATGAGATGTGTACGTACCTTTTTTCTTTTTTGCTACGGGTTGATATCCAGCATTGTTGGCTGTGAGATTTGGCTCATAGGCTCGTTTGATACCTTGAATTTGTTTAATATTTTCACTCATCTAGAAATGTTTCATGAGAAGTTTTATTGATTTTTTTGTTAGTAAAATTGATAATGTTTTATTGTTGTCTCAGGAATATCGAGCAACAGATGAATAAGAAGGAGAACAAAAGAAAACGAAAAATAACACTTGAGTAATATTAAAAAGAATTTGTTATGTTTTTTTTTGTGATAAAACGTATTTCTAGGATTCAATATTCTATAATTATAAATACAATCCTTCCGGTGTTCCTTGATTCTTTCGATAGAGTACAGTTTCTTTACTCTTGCGAAAATCTTCGTTGGTGACTTTCATTCGACGTTCACGCAATGCCATCAAACCCGATTCAGTGCAAATAGCCTAAGAAAAAAGATATTCATGGGAGTTCTTTTCTTTCGGAAAGACAAAACAGACTTTGATATCGGCACCACTAAGATCATCTTTAGCCATGATCAACTCTTCCAGATTAACATCGTCAGCTAATGTCATGCGGCCAGTGTGGATTTTGAAAATCATCCGACGAGTTTTTTCGTCCGGTAGCGGGAACTCAATTTTTCGATCAATACGACCAGGTCGAATCAAGGCAGGATCAAGACTATCAATTCGATTGGTAGCCATAATGACCTAAAAGTATTGCCCTTCTTTGTTAAGTCATTCCACACAATCGAAACCTGTACCTTTACATCACCACGTGAATCAAATCCATCGAGTTGATTGAGTAGTTCTAACATAGTACGCTGAATTTCTCTTTCACCACCAGAATTAGAATCATAGCTAGATAAATCAAGTCGTGATCAAAACTTTTCTTAGTAGAAACTATAGATAGGTACCGTTTCGTGCCAACCGCATCGATCTCATCGATGAAGACAATGGCCGGTGCATATTCTTCGGCTACTCGGAAAAGTTCTCGAACGAGTTTTGGTCCATCGCCCTAAAATTTCATTGTCAATAGCTGCCAATGTCAAATAAAACAGTTCGTACCAAATATTTTTGAATCAATTCCGACCCAACAACACGTAAGAATGTCGCCGATGTTTGATTAGCTACGGCTTTGGCTAATAGAGTTTTACCTACAAAAAAATCAAACATTCCGATAGATAGTTACAATTAGATAAATTACCTGTTCCAGGTTGTCCGTAAAGAATAACGCCTTTCGGAGGCTTTATACCCATTTCTTCATAGTATTCAGGGTGAGTTAATGGTAGTTCTACAGCTTCCTGAAAGTGAATACAAAGTTTAGACAATAGTATGAATATTTCTTTTGAAACTCGTACTTTAATTTCTTGGATTTGGGTTGTCAATCCACCAATATCGGCATACGTCTCTTTGGGGGCTTTTTCTAATTTCATAACTGCAACCATTGGATCGACATCGTCACCTAACACACCAATGACCGCATGGACCTAGAAAGAATTCTAAATCGATGATTATCTCCTCCATGAATAAGATATTTTACTTTATGGTTTAGTAGAACAGTGCATCCTGGTTCAAGTTGATCTTTGTCAACGAAGGACATTATTGTTACGTAATGTTCCGAACCAACGGAAGTGGATACAATTGCATGATTATCATCGATAATCTCTTCTAACGTTCCAACTGCCATCGGTGATCCTCTGAAAAGCAGAAGCAACGTTTGCGTGTCAATTTTAGTTCATCAATTTTCTTTACATACCGAATGTCATCAACTTTCGAACGTTCTTCCTACAAATAAAACGAGATTTAACGAATAAGACAGATTAGATTTCATTTACTTCATGACGATCTTCTTGAGGTTTCAAACGTTCTTGATTTTTAATGAATTCTTCTTCGAGCAATAGATAGTCTTTGATACGTTCGAATCGAAGTTGTTTTAGTCGACAACGTGTGTAGGGTAACACTTGAGGTAGTTTATTTGCTGCTTCAGGGCCCTTGGTATTCTTTTTTCGTTTACCTATTCGAGTTGGAATGGGCGGTTCGTATTTCTTTTTCTATAAAAGACTTGTTTGATCAAATGAAAACGGATCTTTTACGCTTACTTCCTTGTCACCATCGCCTCGTCTCTGTCCACCTGATCCTTGATTTCCCTAAAGAAAAACGGCGTATTCGAATTAATACGACACCTAAATCTCGTACCATCGATCACGAATATTTTTCAATAATTTATCTGAAGAACACAGAGAAAAAAAAGATAATAAACACCGATCATACACAATACTAATATAAATAAAGTTTTTATTTCCTTTTAGAAGTTGAGCCTGTCATGCTAAAGAAGGAACGATCACGCACACAACACAAACATATGAACATAGATAAAGAAAAATTAACGAACGTAGTTTTTATTATTTGCTTTTGCAGACCTATCAAACATGTGTTGTCCTGCCCATCTAATCAACGTGTGTAACAGGTGATACGCGAGGTATAGCATGATGTATATGATCACCATTACCAGCGGTTTCATTTGTCATCGATAAACAATCATGACGTGACGGTCGTCGAGTTTCCATGTCATGCTCAACTGCTTCTTCCCATGACTCGTGTTTGACACCTTCAGCTAAATGTAGAAGTTTGATATGCACAGCCATGACTTTTTCATTCTTCGGCGGCATTAGCATTTTCTTAAAGGAAACAATGTCGCCTTTTTTCGGTACATAATCATCATCGATACTAAATTGATTAGACAGTGTATACGATAGAGAAAAGACCGATTTCATACTCAGAAACATGTGCAAAAATCATTTGACTTGGGTTGTCTTTAGGACGAATATAACCATGACCTTTTTCTCGACAAAATTCTTCAATAGTACCTTCGTAGGATGGACTTTGTAACGCCCGCTCACATCTGAATAATAAATCATCGATTTATATCGAATTACAATACATACACAAAGGGAGTTATTTTAAACTCACTGAGAAAGTGTTCGTTCTCGTCGCGGAATAATTGGATGTGGCAGATGATCACTCGAACGAGGTGAAAGTGATGCACCAGAGGGCGAACGAGACATGGTTAACCGTAGGATAGGAAATATTCAATCTGAAACACACATAAATTAAAATCCATTTACAACAGAGTAGAAGAGACTGAAGATATTTTCTATATCAAAGCTATTAGTTTTGTTATTTGTGATCAGACATTGAAAATATCACCTATTCAATATGTATATATGGATCAATCCATTCATTGAATTCTATGTAAAAAATAACGAAAAACATTAGTGTAAGTTCATTGAAGATCTATTCTATTTACCTGATCAGATTTCTCCATCTTCTGTTGCTGATAGTGACTTTGTTCTTGCTGATACATCAACAGTGGCTTCATCTTCCATTGCGTCTGTACTCTCCGAATCCATTTGGTCTTGCGGTAACAAAGCAGCAAGATATGGTAATGGAGAAGTAGTATTTTTTATTAGAAAGTAATCGTTGATATTTGCTCCCTGATTGTTAATAACAGAAATTTTCTCATTGGTCTGTAGTTTAAATTTCACTAAGGATCGCTGCAAGGCTCGACGTTGGTCAGCCAGCAATTGTCGAACGCGCGGATAGTCTTTTCGTAGATCTGCATAGGTTTCGCTAGATATAAATGTGTGAGGATCGGGAAATTCTGGAAGAAAGTCCGGAATATAAATAGGTCGATGTTTGCGCGACGAATTGTTATTTGTCGTATGTGTTACTCGAAATAATTTCATTGGATGTGTTTCTGTTTGACGATCTGGTGAACGGAGACGATGCTTAATCGGTTGATTACACGTTTGGTGTAACAATGATGATTTGACATTCATCATTTGTAACGAACGTGCAATATCAGCTGGACACGGTTCGGTACGTGATTGAACTTCCGTTAGATTTTTAACATTGAGTAATAACCGACGAAGTATTGTATTGGATACATCGAGAATTTGATGATAGGCAGAAAGTTCAATATTATCAAAGCCATACTCACGAACGATCAGTGCTAATGAACGTTCGAAAAGAACATCATAGGGACTATCAGAGTTTGTATCCATTATTTCAACTAAATAAAATCTATATGAATCAATGAATCTTTATTTGCGAAATAACGACGATAATGAGTAGACAAGAGAGTTAACAGCCAATCAGAATTAATGAGAATTTTTCTCATCCAGCAACTAGTGACATCGCAGACAAATTCTTGTGAACTGATATGACACTAATTTATGCGTGAAAACAAGTTCACCCGGGCTATTTACATACCACAAATGTAAATGAGGACATTCAACTGTGGCTTCATACCTAAGCGGACAATTCTATTTCACTTGATTGATACGAGAAGATTGAAGACATACTGTGCAATCAGTTAGACACCATATCGTCTAATATAGCACTTTAGGATGGCATTGGATCGACAACAAACATGAATGACAGTATACAGATGTGGATGTGTTATTGATTATATCTTAAATAGATTCTATTACTCTGTCATCAACGAGAGAAGAGACTGTAAGATGAGAAGAAATATTTATTTGTAATATGAATTAACAACATTGAGTTTTTGCTTATCAAATAATGAATATATCACGCATGAATTAAATGTTTTGGTTTGAATTTTTATTTTGTCTCTTGAAGAAGAGATTGAATCAAACAACTAAAATCGAACTCGAAAGAAATTGTGAATCATCTAGGACTTATTCGACGATTCTATGCATATTGTAGCGTGTTTTGATTGTTTACGATGCGATGATTGTGTTTTGTTTGATGAAAACACTGATTTCCGCTTTAATGTACCAGACAATGTCGAATCGTTGCTATGAGAAGATGTTTTCTGTGGATGATTATCTGGCTGTGGTGTTAAGACCGTATCTATTGATGATGATTCTTCACTTGTTATTGTCACGGATGGCGATGTTTCTACCGATGATGATTTTTCCGAGAGAACATCGGCTGATTGTTGAACAAGACCTAACGAATTGAATAGCTGCGTTTCTTTACCAGATGATATGGTTGTTAGTGATTCGTCAGTGGGGATGAATGAATTGTGCCGACGAACGATGGCAATTGGTGAAGATGGAGATGTTCGCTGAGAATTAATAGCGGGGCTGTCCAGATCATAAGGACGAAACAGTTTTGATTTGGGTTTTGAAGATTGTGATGTTGCCTGTAAAATAAAGACAAATTTGTTTGTGGAATATTGCATAGATCTTTTTACTTCAGATTTTTCGTCGATTTTGCCTTGTGTTGGAACACTATTGAAATGAGATCCAAATATTCATAGATATTATTGTTCGTCTTACCGTCCTATGACGTCAGTTGCTTTCGTATTTGGAAATAGCAATGATGTGGGTAAAGGCATTCTAGGCTGTTGTGCAAGCGACTGAAAATATGCAGATGGAGGAAACGGACCGGATGACTGAGGTGCCATGAAACGGTATGGATCAGGGCCATCGAAACGTCTGTAGATAGAAAAAGAATGACGTGTAATCATTCGAATAGTGACCATCGATTTCACTACCTATTCAGAATAGGTATACTGACATTCGGACTATCAGGTCCAGGATAGTTTCGAAGGTAATTCCGTCGCATATCTTCTCTTCGTTCCACCTAAAGTGAATAAAATTTCAAATCTACTGGCAAAAGAAGAGAAAAACAAAATATTTACTTCTTGAACGTATTGCGTATATAATCGCAGAGCTTGCTCAGGTGACATTGAATTATTTACATGCGACATATTCGTTCGGTTAGAGAAGTCTTGCGGTGACTGAATGCAATTTGGAGTTCCATTATGATTTGCATCTAAGTAAGGGGGAACACAATCGGCGATCAAAATCTGACATAGAACTACGTCTAAAAACATACTAATTTTATTCTTTTCTTCCACGTGTTCAGCTAATCTTTTTAGTGCATCGGCAAAACTGCTTGTCGGTCCCGATTTAAGTCCAGTAAACGGTGGATTTGAAGATGCCGACCAACCGAAGGACATCTGGAAAAGGCGTTAAACTGTCAGATTATTGCAACTACAATCAGCTGATTGTTCATATATATATTGGTGATACATATGCACTATTCTACATTAAGATGGCATGGCAGACGGATAGATGTGCTAATGAACTGAAGTGGTGAATAAGAGATAGAGTACCACAACATCGTTAGGTAATAGAGGAGAAAGTTGACAAGGATACCAGAACTAGAACGATGGTTTCCTAATGTATCTGCATCTATCTCAGCACCTATTTTTTATACCATAGTATAATATCGAGAAAAAAGACAGAATATAAAAAAAAGAACGAAGAACTATGTGTGTGTGTGTGGTGTTGTTCTTCTTCTTAGACATCAAATAATGAGTTTTTAAATTTCGAATTAGAATATTTATACTCGATCATCAAAAGCAGAGCTTGGAGGTCATTTTCCATTTTCATACGATAAAAGCGAAGATAGATTTGCTCAGAAAGTTCCATATCGGAAACATCTGCGTCACCATAGATCAAACGTATAATGCGAAAAGTGTGCCGTACGGTTGATTTTTGCCATCTTTGCCGATATGTGGTATCACCGATCACACATACTGACCGTACATAGTGTACCGATTAGACGGATAGAAGGCGACAGAGGCAAGAATTGAGAGCAAGGAGAGGAGAGAAAGAGAGCGAATGCAGTCAAAAAGCTAGTTATATACATATTGAAGGCGAAAAAAAGTGCGAGTTGAGAACCTTAAAATTATTTCAAGACAATCTACACATCATACCTTGGCATGGACAGAATCTAAAAGAATTAAAGACGATTGATCTAACGTGCCAATGACAAATGCTTGTTACTTCGATTGAAGCAGTAGTTATTCTATTGAACATACATACTTCTGTTTTCTTTTGTATGAGTATGAAACGGAAATAGCCATCTTCCTCCTTAAAACGCCTTGTCAAGTGTCTTTCTCTATCTTGACGAGAAAACGCAAGTATATGTTCATTGCCGAAACGATTTAACGCATCATCAATATTTCATACACACGTACGCATAGAACTAAAAGAGCGAGAGCAATCAACGCCTCTTCTTTTCCTCTTCGCTTGCTTTTCTTCCGACCCACTCACTCGTTCACTTTACTTTCTACTACTGTCGCCAATCAATAGATGTTAGAAAAGGCACAGACAGACAGAAGATCGAGATCGAGTAAGTTGATTAAATAAGAAGCAAGAGAGAAAAATTAGTCTGCAAGAAATGATTGAAAGATAGTGCACATTGACTTGCTACAAGTTTGAGGCAGTTCGATCATCAAAAGACTATACGTGAACTACGGGATAATGCTATTAGATATTTAAACAATGGCATTGAGCTTGAAAATTTGACATCTGATTGATAGCGAATAAATTAAATCCAAATTAACACTGTCTCGATTATTTAACGAAAAAACGAGACAGATCATACGGTCATATTATTGACAAAAATCATTCGGTTAACTTTTGTTATCAATGAAAGAAAAAAAGTCTTGTATTCGTTATGATCAAAAGAAGAATCTTTTTGTACTTTGGAACATTCTTTCTTAGCCAACATATTTTCAAGGACAAAGGACTGTCGTTGAGAGTTCTCATATTTATTGTTGACTTGTTAATACGATTTAACATTACATGAAGAAGAAAAAAAAACAATCAAATTTCATTGGCATTCTTCGACTATTTCCTACCAATGAATAACTATTATCAAGTGTTTAATACTAAAACTAATGACGATTGTTGAATAACAAGGAGAATGATTGAATTCGCACTCACATAGAGTCGCTTTAAACTTCATCAACATGATGACGGGTCCTTAGCAACGCCCATCTAACGTTGAAAATGGCCGAAAACAAATAATTACAAGAAATAACAAAAATATTGTTGAATTGTAGTCTTTTTTATTTTGAGAAAACTTCCGAACATGGCAGATCGTACAAGAGTACCCAATATGCTTGATAGTTTTATGTATTATCAAAAGAATCCAACACCTCCATATCCCGGTAGAAAAATGTTGATCGAATCGATTTCAAATTCGATTTCATCCTAGGTTATGGAGTGCCACCCACTTATCTTCCTAATCAAACCAATGCTCAGCCATATATTGCACAAGTTGGACTAGATCCCTGGTAGTTATTCATCCAATCACACATATATCAATCCCTTGTTCCTTTTTTTTTCTGTAGGCCAGTGAATGTGCCTGCTTATCCACAAGAATATGAAACGCATTTTCCACTCGGTTCGATGCTGAATAATTCTATGTTAGTTTTGTACTTTTGATCGTATTTTCTAGGTACTGATTACTGGTGTACACCGGAATATAAACAAATTCCGCAAAATTTCAATCCGACTGAACCAACGTTAATCATACGTGAAAATCGCGCGAAACCCGGTGTCAAACTTACCTACACTGACAAAGGAGCGGAAAGTGATCCACGAATATTTCGTGCTGGTTACGGTACATCCTCCGATGTTCCTGCTCGGCCATACTACGCTCAACCATGGTTAATTAGCGAGATTCGCAAGCTTAAACATTAACAATCGACGTTTTCAACTAATTCATCAGATTCAGACCTTATTTTTTTTTTCACATAAAGAATAACATTAATACATATACACGTAATGACAGACAGACAGAAGAAAGAAAAACAACTGAGAATAAAATTATTATTTACGTTTAGTATTCTCCTTCGTCTTCACCTTCAGCCGGTGCTGTATCTGCTCCAACTTCTTCGTAGTCTTTTTCTAACATTGCCAAATCTTCACGAGCCTCACTGTTTTTTTCAGAAATAAAAAAAGAATATTTATTCACATGAAATCTTTGCACGTATCAATCTTACCTAAATTCGCCTTCTTCCATACCTTCGCCAACGTAATGATGAACAAATGCTCGTTTAGCATAGAGTAAATCAAACTTATGATCTAGGCGAGCCCATGCTTCTGCAATAGCAGTTGTATTTGCCATCATCTACGGAAGATAATACCAAAAATATCAACAAATCTCTCAGATCAAGGTCGACTCACGCAAGCAGCACGTTGAACTTTAGCGAGATCACCACCGGGTACAACTGTAGGTGGTTGGTAATTGATTCCAATTTTGAAACCTGACATAAGTATAGAACAGTGTATTCTAAACATTCTCAAAGTTGTTTCATACCAGTTGGACACCAATCAACAAATTGGATGTTACGATTTGCTTTCAATGTTGAAATAGTTGCTATATAGAATTCGAAGATGCGACTGATTAGTGCAACAAAAGAAAGAGCGATTACCATTAATATCTTTTGGAACAACATCACCTCGATAAAGAATGCAACAAGCCATGTATTTTCCTGCAGATTGAAACGTATGATTTCTCATGTACTTATCGGTTGTTCTTACCATGCCGCGGGTCACATTTGACCAGTTGATTTCCCGGTTCGAATAAGGCTGATGTGACTTCTGATGTTGTTAACTGTTCATGATACGCCTTTTCTGCTGATATTATTGGTGCATATGTTGTTAAAGGAAAATGAATACGTGGGTATGGAACGAGATTTGTCTGAAATTCTGTTAGGTCAACGTTAATTGCGCCATCGAAACGAAGTGAAGCAGTGATCGATGAAATGACTTGTGCCTGAAAAGTGCATTCTTTTGTCAAGCTGATTTCTGTTTCTCCTTTATCTTTTATTCACCATAATTCGATTCACATTAGTGTAAGTTGGCTTTTCCAGATCCAAATTTCGTCGACAAACATCGTAAACTGCTTCGTTATCGATACAAAAACAACAGTCCGAATTTTCAAAGGTACTATGTGTAACTAAAAACAACAACAATGGTCTAGAAATTCATCAATAAACTCACCTAGAATGGAATTGTATGGTTCAACAACTGCTGTAGCTATGCGTGGTGCTGGATAAACAGCAAATTCAAGTTTCGATTTTTTCCCATAATCAACAGCCAGTCGTTCGATAAGCAATGAAGTAAAACCTATTCAATTATGTTTAGCCTAAGATCAGGTGCGTTGATGATAGTCAACAAACCTGAACCGGTTCCACCACCAAAACTATGAAAGACAAAAAATCCTAATAAGCCAGAGCATTGATCAGCTAGTTTTCGAATTCGATCAAGTACCAAGTCGATGATTTCTTTTCCAACCGTATATCGACCTCGAGCATAATTGTTTGCCGCGTCTTCTTTGCCCGATATTAATGTTTCAGGATGAAACAATTGACGATATGTACCCGTTCGTACTTCATCTATTCTCAAATATTTAAACACAAAATCAGTTTTCAAAGTCCTGCAACTCGTTCCTACCAATAACTGTCGGTTCGAGATCAATGAAAACGGTACGCGGTACATCTTGAACAACACTCGATTAACCAATGAATAGAATCACATAAACTTACATTTTCCTGCTCCTGTCTCAGCAAAAAATGTCTGAAATGAGTCGTCACCTGATCCCAATGTACAATCTGTTGGCATCTGTCCATCCGGTTGAATCCCATGTTCGAGACAATACAATTCCCAGCAAGCATTGCCGATCTGTACGCCACATTGTCCAATATGAATCGATAGACATTCACGCTGATATCGTATGAATAGAATTGACGTAAAGGAATCGTAAATCAATACTTCTTACCATGATAGACTTCTGTTCGAAACACAATAGACCGAACGAAAAGTTCCGATGAGATGTGGTTTGATTAAACTAGTGTTTTTGCCGAGATTTAATGTAATTCACTTAATGTTTTCGCGCGCCTTTTCAATCAGCGAGTTTTACAAGCAGAAACGATTAATGAGATCGACAATAGTCCAATAATAAACAAATATTTAGAATTTATTTGAAAGAGAAAAGCAAGAAGTACAAAAAAAAGAAAGAAATCTCTCTAAAGATTTGCGGGATTATTTTGAAGCCAAATGTGTAGAGCCTGTTGATGATTCCATGATGAAATCGATCGATTCAGACAAGACAATGATTTCATAATTTCTTTCGAATCAATCTGCAACATCTGCGCATATTCGAATGTGACACTCGTCAAATGTTTCAAGTGCTCAAGAATATATTTGATATCATCCAGATTTTTCACCCGGATTTGTAAGTGTTTTATGTTCGGTGATATCATGGAACAGATGGTTTCCATACGTGTCATGAAGTTATCCGGTCCCCAGTAATCCAATAACAAGAACGAACGAAGATTCGGTGCTTGTTTGAGTAATCGTTCGATATTCGCGACGGTGTCCGGTGTTTGTTTCGGAAGAAAATTGATTGACAACGAAAGCTTAATAAGACGTGAAAAATCGAGAGTATTCGAAAGGAAACGTAGAGATCGTTCTGGCCATTCACCATCATTACCAAGTATGAGACTCGTCACATTACGAAACAAGTAAACATTGGAAGATATGTTCTAAACATAGAATTTACGAATTGCTTTCAATCTGTCATTGATTTTACCTTGTCTATTGCCAACTTATTGACATCTTTGGTCAATTGTAATTCTAAACGTTGCACGTTATCCATATCTGATGAATTAAAACTTGCACCGACGTTTGATATAGACGATTTTTTCGAATCGATGTCATAAACGAAATATGTTTTGCAAATTGGAAGAGTATACAAGGTAATTTTCCGCGAATTAGCAATGTAATCACACATGATTGAACACTTGAGCTTCTCCAGCCAAAATCGTGTGTGAAAGGATTGCATGAGAAGTTCCGTGTTTTTCGAACGATAGTTACTATATGTTAAAATAACAAAGAAGAATTCGAATTTTTCGATATGAACAAGTCTTGTTTGGAGTAAATTTTCCCATTGACAGCCATCGAATGAAGAATTAAACAGATTCCCATCGCCGACTATTTTCAAATAAGTAAGAGAAGGTGTAAATGAAAGACATTGATTTATTTGATTGATGTCAATTCGGCCATTTTCGAACGTTAAGGATGTTAATTGCTTAAATGGGGAGAAATACCAATTGTCCTCGCTACAATTACTATTTATTTCTTTTAAAACGAGAGTTCGTAAGCCACGATAGTTGTCAAGGACAAGACAAAATTGTTTAAATGTTATACTGTTAACCAGCCGAAGATACCTTAACTTCCAATTGGTAGACCATGATATCTGATGCCATTCTTTCTCGCCGATACTCATATAGAGATTCTTCAAAGTATGATGAACAACCACTGACGAGAGCAGTTGCGGAGTCGTTTTTTGAGAAGTATGCATCGGTGGAACACTGATTGAAAGTGATTTTACTGAAGAATTTACAATATGTTTCAGGAAACTATTCAAATAATCGTAATCAATTTCGAGTAAAGTTAACGATTCGAGTCGAGTAAACTGTTCAATGTTGTATAACGAAAGAAATAATTCGACTTGACCACGAGTCTTATCTTCATCGGATAAGGTCAATGCAGTGACATTTTCGAATGGTACAAGTCGACAGATGATCCGAAATAAGGGCTTAGCAATCGATTTGAAGTTGAAGTTGTAACGATTGTATGAATCCGTTATTAAATATAACTGTTTGCAGACATAACGAATAGAGAAAATAATCGTTTGAACATCCAGATGATCGAATATCCGATGCAGGATTTCCACAGGTAGATTATCGAACGTTGCAGCCGACATGATCACCAAGAAAAGCTGCAGTTAATTGTTCGAAATAGGTCATTCAAACGAGATAGGAACCTTACCTGTCAGATACAAGTAAACTCGGAATAATACGTTCGATGGGCTTATACTAGTTTCCAATGCTGATCATCATACATCTTGAAAAGAAATATACATTGTTAAATTATACCAAAAAAGGTTTGATTCAACGATTGATCAGCTCGATGTTCTCAGACAACGATCGCTCAGCTCCGAATAAACGACAAATACGGTTTTGTTTTGTTTTTCGATTTTAATGAAACAACAAAGAATACGTTATCAATTCGCATGACTATTTTTAGTAATTCGATATTTAAATAAGTTGTATACATATAAAAAGAAAGAAGGATAAGGCAAGGAACAGCACAACACAAATATCTAACAAATAAAGATGATTTTTATCGTACAGTTGAGCACAAAAAAGAGCGAAAATTCATTCATCTGACAATCATATTCATTCAATATTACTCGAAATAATAAAAAATGCATTACGTAAAACACTCGATGGAAAACATGTTTCAAGTAGATCACGTGTTAAGTATGGACATTGATTAACAAATTGTTCCAAAAGGATGTATGTTGCTTCACGATGGATGACATCATTCGGTAGACCATTGGAATTATTCGATGCGGAATTCGTGTTCGTATTTGAATATTTGTTATTTTGACTGCTGTCCACATCGATCAACCGAAGTAAACTTGATGATGCTAAAGCAAGAAACTCTTTGCAACGATCTTCGATATGCCGTTGACCATGCTCGAAAAAGAAGGTTGTTATTAATGTATTTATTGCACGTACTAAACAATGACAGTTGTTCGCGTGAGCGTCCAGAGCGGCAATGTATTTTGTCGATTCTAGTCTTGCTAAACGTGGCAAAGCAACAGCGATATAAACCATGATTAAACATGAAAGGATGTATTCTTCAGATTCGTGATTTGCTGATGTCGGCTCGGAATTATTTGTATTGTTGTTTAACGAGTTCTTTTGATTGATTAACGCTTGGCATAAGGTCGAATCGATCATGGTTGATGTTCCGGTAGATGAGATCATTTCGTTGATGAGTAAATGATGTTGCGGATCGTTGGAAAATGTCGTTGTTTTGTATTGCGCATAGAAATGTTCTAATGTAATCATTAGAAACGGCATGCGTTTATGTAGAACATCTTGAAGAGCTTCTTCAACGAGATTTTTCAATTGTAAGAGAACTCCAATGAGTATGACACGTTGTAAGAGTAAGTCAACATGTTCAAGTTGTTTTAAATAAAGCTTCATTTGTGCTGGCTTGTCAAAATTGATACGAAGATTATTGAGAAGATCACGTTGACTATGTGTCAGTTTACGAATTTCATTAATTTGTTGAACACAACGATAGAGAATCATTTCGCAAAGATATTTACATCCATCTAAACAAACATTGACAATAAGATTTCTAGCAAAAACTGTGACTGTAACTTACATGGTTTAATCAGCTCTACTAAAGCTCGTAGTTCATTGAATGACGCATATTCTTCGGGATCGAAGGGTAATGTTAAATCTTGCTGGTGAATACTAACAAACGATCGTCGTAAAGGCGAATAGACAATAGTACCCATCGTTATACGTTTAATAAGAACTTCGAGAAACCAATGTGTATAGAGTGAGGTGATGGTTTCATTTCCAGCACTATCCAATGGTTGACTTTGTTGCAAGAGAACTTCATTGAAGATTCGTGTTGTATCAATTTGACAGTGAGATTCTACTAAAGTTAAAATATCCATGTAGGATTCAACTGACGATAATAATTCTGATGGTTTGGCTATTTCCATCGCTGGCGGACGATAGTTAACCATTTCAGATAAGGATTTGTTGAAACGATTTTCTAAATGGGAGATTAGATATTCATTGGGTAAAAATTTGTGTTCCCATATGGTGATTTGTTTGCGATAGGAGATCGAAAAGCATAATTCGTTTAGTACCATCATTAGTTTATCGGTTTTGGTCATATCACGACGATTTGATCGACGCGATTCATCACCTGGTAAGGAGATTTTCGCTGGTACACCATTGGAACCATTTGTGGCGTCATGTTTCGAAGATGAGCCATGTTTTTTGGATGATTGTTCAGTAGGCAGTTTTTTTCGTAAGCGAGAAATAACCGCATTCTTAGGTAAAAGCTAAAAGCATCAAACAAAACAACATATTCGGATATGTAGTAAACCTTTGTTGGCGTACCTGTTCGTTCATAAGAAAATATTCGTTGGCGATCTCCGAAACTGTACTTTTGATTTGCTTGCATATCTCGTCAATGAAAGCATGAGCACTCTTCAAACTTAAATCGCCGATCTGTTGTCGTTCTTCTGGACATAACTCATGTGTTGCATTGATGAAATGTTGACAAATCAATGGAAAGGCAATTGCATAGCGTATCTGTGATGGGTAATAGATGCACGATGAAAATAAATGATCGAATTGAGTCAAATAGAAGTAGAAGATCGAAAGATCACTCGTTTCGTACAATAAAGTTTCCAAATCGTCGACACATTTCGAATGAAAACAAACTGTATTCATGATTTGAGCGAAATGTTCATTATGCGACAAGGAGATTAATGATAATGATGATTTTTTCGTTACACTTGTATAAGCCTGCATACGAAACCAATCTAGACGCAAGGCGCGTAGATCTGCGCTGGCCGTCGTTGACAATGTCGTAATTGTGTTATAAAAGGATGTTAATAGAATCGATTCATCCTCTGTACACGACATATGTAAGTTTTTAATATTCGCTTGTAAGTCATTTGAATCCAAAGTTGATAAACATTCAATGTAATATTGTTTGATGACCGACGAATAGGTTGTGATCAAATGACGAAGTTCCTCTGAATAGCAAAATGTAGAGAATCATCCGAAAAAGAAAATGATATAATTACCAATATAGAACAAAAACTCGGGATAGGTTCGATCGCTGTAATCGTCGCGTGTGGTACCTGCTTGCTTCTTGTTTGTTTCTTTCTGGAGTTTTGATGGGAAATTTTCACTATGTCGTAATAACCAGACAATCTCATCACGTGCTAAACTTAACGCTGTAAATGCAGTTAATAGCTTCGGACCTAACAGTGCTGGTTGATCGGCAAAAATCAGAGCTAGTTCTTTCAATTGTGGTCGAATATACTTTCGTCTTTCGCGTCTATACAACGGCTGATCAGTCATGGCTCTTTTGAATGTTTCGTTCAAAAGTTCGGTTAATTTCAATTGTCGATAGGATTTGTAAATATCCAAATTTTGATGTAAATATTGATGTGTCAACAACAGTTCGTCACGGTAGAGAACATGAACGAAACTATTCGATAAGGCTTTCTCGAATAACTGCATACATTTGGAGTTAGTTACCAACTGCTGCGGACAGACAATCATTGTATAAACAATCCAACGTTCAATTGTTTCTTGTGAGAGATATTCGCAAGGTAAAGTTTCTGATGTATCCATCAAATGAGCTGTTTGTGGTGTAGACAATAAGCTGAGCAAAGTTTTCGCTCGCCATTCTGAAACTTTGCATGTACGACGATCGTAGATAGGTCCTAATGATTGTATCGCGTCGCCAATTGAGCGTACATGGGGAACGAATTCATCATGTAATTTACGTAATGGTTGTTCGTAGTCGATGATCATTTGACCAAGTCGAGGAAAATTAGCATCGCCATGTCCGTGAGTTAAATCTGTGGCTATGTTATAAAGACCAAGAACGACTTTGCGGTCATCTACCCGGGATAAAAGAATCATCAATGAGATATATGTTGAGATTAACTCTAAGTAGGATTTTGTCAAATCGTAATTCAATGCCTAAAAGAATCGAATGCGATTATCGAAGAACTCACGCTTATCAAATACGTACGATATCGAAGTGAACTTGGCACGCATCAATCGTTGTTAACAAATCAGTAACATGGTCCTTGAAAAGAAAAGAATTGAACTTGCATTTGATACACAAGTTCGAGGCTCACTCGGAATTCTAATAGATCGACAAATGTAAAATAGTATATTGCGAGTGATTTGATAATATCTGTTTTAATCGACGTAAGTGTTTGAAATTGACTCTAGATAAGCAAATCGAAGTCAAGAGTTGTCTTACGGAGAGATAGGAGATTTACTTTATCAACAGCTGGAAATTTCTTTTGTATCTGACGAAGAACCGAGTCGAGATTTTTGTCAAGAAGAAACGATGGTTTCGATTTCGTTTCTGCACAAGCCTGAAAATTAGTAGTGTGAAATTTCAGGAGTAAATATGATACATTCACATATGTTTGTTTTCCTCTCCGCTTACCTTTTTTATATTAAATATTCTCGTTAACATTCCAATACCTCGATCATTGAGAATCGTTAATTTCTCAGCTAGTTTTTGTTGATGAGGATTAATTTGATGAGCCATTCTCTCTCGTTTCTCTGTTTTTCACCTCTATCTAGAATAATCAAGAAAAGTAACAGAAATGGAAATCATTCAAATCGTTAAATAGTGTATCATCAAAGAAAAGAAGAGGAAAATTAGATTTTTTTGAAAGACAATTAAATACTGTTTTAATCACAGAGGTAAGATTGGCACATCGAGTAAAGATTTCATTAAACTCTTTCCATTTACGAAATGTGTTGTTGCAATAACAAAGTCATGATTTTTATCAGCGAGAAATCGTAGTGCAGCGATTTCTCCATAAGTCACTCCGCCAACGAACACGACTAAGGTAGCTTTAGATTCGATACTTTGCTGCTGCAACTGATTTGCTGGTTTTGTCGTTTTATTCAGTGAATTCAACGAGGCGGTGGAATCATGTCGATGACGTTTTAATTCCATTGGAACTTGTTGCGTATCGATAAATGTCGTACCAGGCAAATTATTCATTGTTTCTTGAATGTTCGTCGATGTTTGAAAAACGATTTTCTCAATTAATCGAATAGTGATCGGGGCATATTGATAGAAAATGTACGAAACATCTTGTGGATCAGTGACATTGACTGTTTCATCACCTTGTAGTAAATTGAATTCCCGTTTCAATCGTTCGAGCGGCGTTTCGTTTGTTCGTAACGCTGATGAGCTTTTCGTTGGATCTATCAAATTTAGCAGTCCAATTTGTTCCATGGCATGAATTAACACAAGATATTGGAGACCGAATGTCTGGATAAGATCTTTTTTAATCGCATCGTAATCTTTGCGCTTTAATTGCGGACCCAGTGCATGCGTAGCAATAGAGAGGTAACGTAAGATACAGAAAACATCGTCTTTCCATGCAATACGTTCGTCGAGATGACGCATNGTGTTTTTGCCGAGATTTAATGTAATTCACTTAATGTTTTCGCGCGCCTTTTCAATCAGTGAGTTTTACAAGCAGAAACGATTAATGAGATCGACAATAGTCCAATAATAAACAAATATTTAGAATTTATTTGAAAGAGAAAAGCAAGAAGTACAAAAAAAAAAGAAAGAAATCTTTCTAAAGATTTGCGGGATTATTTTGAAGCCAAATGTGTAGAGCCTGTTGATGATTCCATGACGAAATCGATCGATTCAGACAAGACAATGATTTCATAATTTCTTTCGAATCAATCTGCAACATCTGCGCATATTCGAATGTGACACTCGTCAGATGTTTCAAGTGCTCAAGAATATATTTGATATCATCCAGATTTTTCACTCGGATTTGTAAGTGTTTTATGTTCGGTGATATCATGGAACAGATGGTTTCCATACGTGTCATGAAGTTATCCGGTCCCCAGTAGTCTAATAGCAAGAACGAACGAAGATTCGGTGCTTGTTTGAGTAATCGTTCGATATTCGCGACAGTATCCGGTGTTTGTTTCGGAAGAAAATTGATTGACAAGGAAAGCTTAATAAGACGTGAAAAATCGAGAGTATTCGAAAGGAAACGTAGAGATCGTTCAGGCCATTCACCGTCATTACCAAGTATGAGACTCGTCACATTACGAAATAAGAAAACATTGGAAGATGCGTTCTAAAAACACAGAATTTACGAATTGTTTTCAATCTGACATTCATTTTACCTCGTCTATCGCCAACTTATTGACATCTTTGGTCAATTGTAATTCTAAACGTTGCACATTATCCATATCAGTTGAATTAAAACTTGCACCGACGTTTGATATAGACGATTTTTTCGAATCGATGTCATAGACGAAATTTGTTTTACAAATTGGAAGAGTATACAAGGTAATTTTTCGCGAATTAGCAATGTAATCACACATGATTGAGCATTTGAGCTTCTCCAGCCAAAATCGTGTGTGAAAAGATTGCATGAGAAGTTCCGTGTTTCTCGAACGATAGTTACTATATGTTAAAATAACAAAGAAGAATTCGAATTTTTCGATATGAACAAGTCTTGTTTGAAGTAAATTTTCCCATTGATAACCATCGAATGAAGAATTAAATAGATTCCCATCACCGACTATTTTCAAATAAGTAAGAGAAGGTGTGAATGAAAGACATTGATTTATTTGATTGATATCAATTCGGCCATTTTCGAACGTTAAGGATGTTAATTGCTTAAATGGGGAGAAACACCAATTGTCCTCGCTACAATTACTATTTATTTCTTTTAAAACGAGAGTTCGTAAGCCACGATAGTTGTCAAGGACAAGACAAAATTGTTTAAATGTTATACTGTTAACCAGCCGAAGATACCTTAGCTTCCAATTAGTAGACCATGATATCTGATGCCATTCTTTCTCGCCGATACTCATATAGAGATTCTTCAAAGTATGATGAATAACCACTGACGAGAGTAGTTGCGGAGTTGCTTTTTGAGAAGTATGTATCGGTGGAACACTGATCGAAAGCGATTTTACTGAAGAATTTACAATATATTTCAGGAAACTTTTCAAATAATCATAATCAATTTCGAGTAAAGTTAACGATTCGAGTCGAGCAAACTGTTCAATGTTGTATAACGAAAGAAATAATTCGATTTGACCACGAGTCTTATCTTCATCAGATAAGGTTAATGCAATGACATTTTCGAATGGTACAAGTCGACAGATGATCCGAAATAATGGCTTAGCGATCGATTTGAAGTTGAAGTTGTAACGATTGTACGAATCCGTTATTAAATATAACTGTTTGCAAACATAACGAATAGAGAAAATAATCGTTTGGACATCCAAATGATCGAATATGCGATGCAAAATTTCCACAGGTAGACTATCGAACGTTGAAGTCGACATGATCACCAAGAAAACCTTCAGTAATTATCCGAAATAAGTAATTCAAACGTGATAAAAAGAAAAATCTTACTTGTCTGGTACAACTAAACTCGGAATAGTACGTTCGATTGGCTTATACTAGTTTCCAATGTTGATCATCATACATCTTGAAAAAGAAATATACATTGTTAAATTATGCCAAAAAAGGTTGGATTCAACGATTGATCAACTCAATGTTCTCTGGCAACGATCGTTCAGTTCCGAATAAACGGCAAATATGGTTATGTTTTGTTTTTCGATTTTAATGAAACAACAAAGAATACGTTATCAATTCGCATGACTATTTTTAATAATCTGATATTTAAATAAGCTGTATACATATAAAAGAAAAGAAGGATAAGGCAAGGAACAGCACAACACAAATATCTAACAAATAAGGATGATTTTTATCGTACAGTTGAGCACAAAAAAAAAGAGTGAAAATTCATTCATCTGACAATCATATTCATTCAATATTACTCGAAATAATAAAAAATGCATTACGTAAAACACTCGATGGAAAACATGTTTCAAGTAGATCACGTGTTAAGTATGGACATTGATTAACAAATTGTTCCAAAAGGATATATGTTGCTTCGCGATGGATCACATCATTCGGTAGACCATTGGAATTATTCGATGCGGAATTCGTGTTTGTATTTGAATATTTGTTATTTTGACTGCTGTCCACATCGATCAAACGAAGTAAACTTGACGATGCTAAAGCAAGAAACTCTTTGCAACGATCTTCGATATGCCGTTGGCCATGCTCGAAAAAGAAGGTTGTTATTAATGTATTTATTGCACGTACTAAACAATGACAGTTGTTCGCGTGAGCATCCAGAGCGACAATGTATTTAGTCGATTCTAGTCTTGCTAAACGTGGCAAAGAAACAGCGATATAAACCATGATTAAACATGAAAGAATGTATTCTTCAGATTCGTGATTTGCTGATGTCGGCTCGGAATTATTTGTATTGTTGTTTAACGAGTTCTTTTGATTGATTAACGCTTGACATAAGGTCGAATCGATCATGGTTGATGTTCCGGTCGATGAGATCATTTCGTTGATGAGTAAATGATGTTGTGGATCGTTGGAAAATGTCGTTGTTTTGTATTGCGCATAGAAATGTTCTAATGTAATCATTAGAAACGGCATACGCTTATGTAGAACATCTTGAAGAGCTTCTTCAACGAGATTCTTCAATTGTAAGAGAACTCCGATGAGTATGACACGTTGTAAGAGTAAATCGACATGCTCAAGTTGTTTTAAATAAAGCTTCATTTGTGCTGGTTTGTCAAAATTGATACGGAGATTATTGAGAAGATCACGTTGACTATGTGTCAGTTTACGAATTTCATTGATTTGTTGGACACAACGATAGAGAATCATTTCGCAAAGATATTTACATCCATCTAAACAAACATTGACAATAAGCTTTCTAGCAGATATTGTGACTCTAACTTACATGGTTTAATCAGTTCTACCAAAGCTCGTAGTTCATTGAATGACGCATATTCTTCGGGATCGAAGGGTAATGTTAAATCTTGTTGGTGAATACTAACAAACGATCGTCGTAAGGGTGAATAGACAATTGTACCCATCGTGATACGTTTAATAAGAACTTCGAGAAACCAATGTGTATAGAGTGAGGTGATGGTTTCATTTCCAGCACTATCCAATGGTTGACTTTGTTGCAAGAGAACTTCATTAAAGATTCGTGTTGTATCAATTTGACAATGAGATTCTACTAAAGTTAAAATATCCATGTAGGATTCAACTGAGGATAATAATTCTGATGGTTTGGCTATTTCCATCGCTGGCGGACGATAATTAACCATTTCAGATAAGGATTTGTTAAAACGATTTTCTAAATGGGAAATTAGATATTCATTGGGTAAAAACTTATGTTCCCATATGGTGATTTGTTTGCGATAGGAGATCGAAAAGCATAATTCGTTTAGTACCATCATTAATTTATCGGTTTTCGTCATATCACGACGATTTGATCGACGCGATTCATCACCTGGTAAGGCAATTTTTGCTGGTACACCATTGGAACCATTCGTGGCATCATGTTTCGAAGATGAACCATGTTTTTTGGATGATTGTTCAGTTGGCAGTTTTTTTCGTAAGCGAGAAATAACTGCATTCTTAGGTAAAAGCTAAAAGCATCAAACAAACAACATATTCGGATATGTACTAATCCTTTGTTGACGTACCTGTTCGTTCATAAGAAAATATTCATTGGCGATCTCCGAAACTGTACTTTTGATTTGTTTGCATATTTCGTCGATGAAAGCATGAGCACTTTTCAAACTTAAATCACCGATCTGTTGTCGTTCTTCCGGACATAATTCATGCGTTGCATTGATGAAATGTTGACAAATCAATGGAAAGGCAATTGCATAACGTATCTGTGATGGGTAATAGATGCACGATGAAAATAAATGATCGAATTGAGTTAAATAGAAGTAGAAGATCGAAAGATCACTCGTTTCGTACAATAAAGTTTCCAAATCATCGACACATTTCGAATGAAAACAAACGGTATTCATGATTTGAGCGAAATGTTCATTGTGCGACAAGGAGATTAACGATAATGATGATTTTTTCGTTACACTTGTATAAGCCTGCATACGAAACCAATCCAGACGCAAGGCGCGTAGATCTGCACTTGCCGTCGTTGACAACGTCGTAATTGTATTATAAAAAGATGTTAATAGAATCGATTCATCCTCCGTACACGACATATGTAAGTTTTTAATATTCGCTTGTAAGTCATTTGAATCCAAGGTTGATAAACATTCGATGTAATATTGTTTGATGACCGACGAATATGTGGTAATCAAATGACGAAGTTCCTCTGAACAGCAAAATGTAGAGAATCATCCGAAAAAGAAAATATATTTATTTACCTATATAGAACAAAAACTCAGGATAGGTCCGATCGCTATAATCGTCGCGTGTGGTACCTGCTTGTTTCTTGTTTGTTTCTTTCTGGAGTTTTGATGGAAAATTTTCACTATGTCGTAATAACCAGACAATCTCATCACGTGCTAAACTTAATGCTGTAAATGCAGTTAATAGCTTCGGACCTAATAGTGCTGGTTGATCGGCGAAAATCAGAGCTAGTTCTTTCAATTGTGGTCGAATATACTTTCGTCTTTCGCGTCTATACAACGGTTGATCAGTCATGGCTCTTTTGAATGTTTCGTTCAACAGTTCGGTTAATTTCAATTGTCGATAGGATTTGTAAATGTCCAAATTTTGATGTAAATATTGATGTGTCAACAATAGTTCGTCACGGTAGAGTACATGAACGAAACTATTCGATAGGGCTTTCTCGAATAATTGCATACACTTGGAGTTGGTTACCAATTGTTGCGGACAGACAATCATTGTATAAACAATCCAACGTTCAATCGTTTCTTGTGAGAGATATTCGCATGGTAAAGTTTCCGATGTATCCATCAAATGAGCTGTTTGTGGTGTAGATAATAAGCTGAGCAAAGTCTTCGCCCGCCATTCTGAAACTTTGCATGTACGACGATCATAGATAGGTCCTAACGATTGTATGGCGTCACCAATTGAGCGTACATGGGGAACGAATTCATCATGTAGTTTACGTAATGGTTGTTCATAGTCAATGATCATTTGACCAAGTCGGGGAAAATTGGCATCGCCATGCCCGTGAGTTAAATCTGTAGCTATGTTATAAAGACCAAGAACGACTTTACGATCATCCACCCGGGATAAAAGAATCATCAATGAAATATATGTTGAGATTAACTCTAAGTATGATTTTGTCAAATCGTAATTCAATGCCTAAAAAAATCGAATGCGATTATCGAAGAACTCAAGTTCATCGAATACGTACGATATCGAAGTGAACTTGGCATGCATCAATCGTTGTTAACAAATCAGTAACATGATCCTTGAAAAGAAAAGAATTGAACTTACATTTGATGCACAAGTTCGAGACTCACTCGGAATTCTAATAGATCGACAAATGTAAAATAGTATATTGCGAGTGATTTGATAATATCGGTTTTAATCGACGTAAGTGTTTGAAATTGACTCTACAAAAGCAAATCGAAGTCAAGAGTTGTCTTACAGAGAGATAGAAGATTTACTTTATCAACAGCTGGAAATTTCTTTTGTATCTGACGAAGAACCGAGTCGAGATTTTTGTCAAGAAGAAACGATGGTTTCGATTTCGTTTCTGCACAAGCCTGAAAAGTAATAGTATGAAATTTCCGAAGTAAATATGATACATTCACATGTGTTTCTTTTCCTCTCCGCTTACCTTTTTTATGTTAAATATTCTCGTTAACATTCCAATACCTCGATCATTGAGAATCGTTAATTTCTCAGCTAATTTTTGTTGATGAGGGTTGATTTGATGAGCCATTCTCTCTCTTTCTCTCTGTGTGTCACCTCTATCTAGAATAATTAAGAAAAGTAGCAGAAATGGAAATCATTCAAATCGTTAAATAGTATCATCAAAGAAAAGAAGAGAAAAATTCGATTTTTTTGAAAGACAATTAAATACTGTTTTAATCACAGAGGTAAGATTGGCACATCGAGTAAAGATTTCATTAAATTCTTTCCATTTATGAAATGTGTTGTTGCAACAACAAAGTCATGATTTTTATCAGCAAGAAATCGTAGTGCGGCGATTTCTCCGTAAGTCACTCCACCAACGAACACAACTAAGGTAGCTTTAGATTCGATACTTTGCTGTGGCAATTGATTTGCTGGTTTTGTTGTTTTGTTCAGTGAATTCAATGAGGCAGTGGAATCATGTCGATGACGTTTTAATTCCATCGGAACTTGTTGCGTATCGATAAATGTCGTACCAGGCAAATTGTTCATTGTTTCTTGAATGTTTGTCGATGTTTGAAAAACAATTTTCTCAATCAATCGAATACTGATCGGGGCATATTGATAGAAAATGTATGAAATATCTTGTGGATCAGTGATATTGACTGTTTCATCATCTTGTAGTAAATTGAATTCCCGTTTCAATCGTTCGAGTGGCGTTTCGTTTGTTCGTAACGTTGACGAGCTTTTCGTTGGATCTATCAAATTTAGCAGTCCAATTTGTTCCATGGCATGAATTAACACAAGATATTGGAGACCGAATGTCTGGATAAGATCTTTTTTAATCGCATCGTAATCTTTGCGCTTTAATTGCGGACCCAATGCGTGTGTAGCAATAGAGAGGTAACGTAAGATACAGAAAACATCGTCTTTCCATGCAATACGTTCGTCGAGATGACGCATAGCATCTTGTAAGGTTGGTGCGAAGAGCATTGACAATTGTTTGGCTAGACACATATCATAAATCGCTGTTAGTTCTTGTTTCACCGCACAGGCTAATTCAAGATGTGTGGATAAGGTTTGTGTTTTCGCATTTTGATTGGATATGCGAGTAACGAATTCGCGTAGATCAGCAAGTTTCTTGCCTTGAATTGTTGATGCTGAACCGGAGAATTTGTCATCGAAATCTTTCCGTAATTGCTTCTGCGCACGAGCACCTTCTTGAAGCACTCGACCCACAGTGATCATATGTAGATAACGTGTATCGGAATACAATTGATCACTGGTTAGCAAACGTACAGCTACTTTGTCTTGAGTTTTGGCGTCGATTTTTTGTGCTTCGCAAAAGTGTTCACTAAATGCTGATGTTGGTACTTCGATCCGATTGAATTGTATGTCTATTAAAGCAAAAGATAGAGTGATTTCGATCTGAAATCAATTGTCTTACTGAAAACTTCATCAAGTAAAGCTTCGTATGTTGCTGGTATCATCATCGGTGTAATCAAATCAGTTGTGCGATCGATTAGAATCATGTTTTCTATTTGTGTTGGCACTTTCTTTTCATTATCAGGCACTTCACGTTGCATTCTCATCATCGTATCATAACACTGTTTAGCCTTATCACCTTTGACGAACACGTTTGGAATAATTCCATACAATTTCTGAAATGTTATAAGACCATGGGCAAGATTGAATAACGATGTGGTTTCATTATTCAGGTAAATATCACGAAAACAATCATTCGATTCCATTGATAATACGTCGGTATCAATGGGAATGAAATCTAAGTTTAATTCATCGATGATGATATCACCACGAACACCTTGTTCTTTTAGTTTTTCTTCACAAACACGCGAACGACGTGGTACGAAGATAATTCCATACTGTTTTGGACTTGCACCTTTCGATCTTTGAGAATTTAATTTGCTAAGTTCATCTTTAATCATATTGGCAATGACTTCCATATAAATAACTTTTGGTCGAACAAGAAACAATGTTACCTTATAGTCGGATGTATCATGTTGACGTTCTTTGAATATTCGAATATCATTCGCGCCCAGATCACCGATAGCTTGAACGTGTGCAAGTAGATTTTTGATCGAATCATCGATAATCACACATTTGTCTTTAGTGAACTGTTTTGGTAGGTTACTTTTCTCTGTATGAAATAGATTTGTACAACGCTTGATTTCTTGAATGATGTATTCACGGAGAATAGTTAAATTGATGCGACCGGTTTTTAAGAATGTGAAATCTTGTTTGGCAGCTGTTCCTGCTGCGGCTGTTGTTGTCGTTCTTCCTGACATAGGCACAGATATGATGGCAAAGAAAACAAACAACTAGGACTAACGAAAGTTCATTGAATAGGAAAAGAAAGAAAGAATGATGAGCGCTATGAACTCAATTGTGAGTGCATTGATGGTAGCGCTATGACAATGTCAACCAATAGCAATGAAGACGCTAAATTGTCTATCTACCTCAATCGATGAATCATCGAAATCATAACGAAAAAGAGAGTACTGGAATCTTCAAGCACTCCCAGTTGTACTTATTTTTGAGAAGATTTGCTAAGATTGAATTGTGTAAAATTATCCTATTGACTATTGTATATACACAAAACATAATTGAAATTAAACATATCTATTGACTACCTACGTATGCAAATTTATCTTTTAGATTGTCATATGATAAAGCAAAGTTCTGAATAAAGCGAACGATGCTACAAGGTACACCAAGTATTGCTGAAGAAGATGAAAATCCTGATCAAGAACAATACGAGGATGATCGAGCACAATTCACCACTGATAGACGAACAGATACTAGTCTCGTGAAAAATCAGCATGAACATCTACCTCAAATTTCGCTAGCAACAGCTTCGTAAGTGTTGAAGAGAGTATTTTCTCGACACTAACGCGATTTGTATCGTTTAGCAGCGGTTTAAGTTCATGGCGTATCCCACGTTTAATATTAAATTTTCTCTCTGTGTCACCTCATATGCTTGCAAGTGCTGAAGAACGACTGTATCAAAGTATTCATCAAACGCATGAATCATTTTCATTTCATACATGAATAATATGTTTAGACTTGAAGAATAAATACTACGGTGACTATGTACATATTCGGTAAGTGAAACTCATATTACATGTTTGATGAAACGATATGAGTGAATGTCTATTAGTGGTGATAATTCAATATGGACAGTTCGAAGTTTGAATTCGCCAGCAGATACAGTTCCGATCGTGCTTATTCATGATTTTGGCTGTGCTTCCGGTATCTGGATACAAAATACTGACTTCTTAAGTGCACGACATCAGCTGTATATGTTTGACATCCTTGGATTTGGTCGTTCCTCACGTCCATGCTTTGATCAAACAAACACAATTAGTGCTGAAACGAAATTTGTCGAATCCATTGAAGATTGGCGTATAGCAGTCGATCTACAAACGAAATTCTACTTAGTTGGTCATGGATTCGGTGCATATCTCGCAACACTTTATACAATGCGATACGGACACTGGATAAAAAAATTGATTCTTCTCGATCCATGGGGTTTCAATCCAAAACCGGATGAAAGTCAATTAAATCTAAGCACACCGTTATGGATTAAACTTATTGCTTACATTACTCAAACATGGACGTCATTTTCTGCATTCCGTTATCTTGGACCGTTGGGTAAACCGAATTTAAAGATACTTTTCATATCGAAATCGGATGAATCATTTCTAGGTTTACCATTGTTAAAAGTACTTGCACCACGTTGGAAACGTTTAGCACCGATTGATTCTTCATATCAGAAATCCAATGCACTCTATGAATATTTGTATCACGTCAATGTTCAACCAGCAAGGTATGTTCTTTTCTGTACATTTTCGAATGTACATATGTTCATTTCAATCAAGTGGTGATGTGGGCTTTCAAGCATTAGCCTCTTGGTATGGCTGGGCGAAAGATCCAATAGTTCAAGTGGATCATTCGCGTATCGAAAGTATATCTGACGAAATCTACATCGCATTCATATATGGTTCACGGACCAGTATTGATAATACCGCTGCTCAACAAATTCTTCATCAGCGTGGTTCGAATAATACATGTATCAAAGTATGTGAAGAGCTCAAAATTTCTTTGACATTTTCATATCATGTCTTCTTTGTTTTTTGTTAGATCATTCATAATGCTGCACATTTCTTTTTCATGGAGAAACCAATTCAATTTCACGAAGTCATGAGCGAAATCTTATCTGATTTGCCCCACTATTTTCGTACATTGGCATCAGTTGATAGAACTATAACCACAACAGTCTTACCCGAATAACATTCACTGAGTATTTTTATAGTCAGATGCATAATTTTTCCGGTGTGTTTAACATTGTGTGATTTTCCTTTCATATTTTGAGTGTTTGGTGTTCAAAACAGTGATAGTTTTTCTCTATTGACATCGGATTTAAAAACTACTTGAACGTTATTTCAGATTTTGAACAATGGCGACAACTACTGGAATGACCCAGAATTCAGATAACGATCTAGCGTCAGCATCGGATGCCATTGATCAAATGATTTCGATGTCGATTGCTAATCACAACCCTGATGTCAACAATCCAGCTTCAGATAAAACAATAGCAGAACAAATGAATATTACTCGCCAGAATTGCTCTCCGAGGTTAGTGAAAAAACTCGTACTATCGTATAAGATTGCCGATAGTGTTGATAGTAGCTTATTATACAATTGGGTTTCTCTTTCGTCGTTCATTCTAGAGTTTCTATTTGATGCATGTGAATATTCATCCACCGGTAGGTTGCGATACAAGAATTTGACAAACTTGTGCACATATCGAATGAAGAAGAAGAATATAACCAGATTTTGGAATTGACACTGCATGAAATTATAGAGATATGTAGCCGATATGACGCATCTCTGCTCTGATAGAACAAATTGATTCAACTTGTCCTTTTTCGGAAATGATATAGAATTATATTACGTTGTGGTTATGCATTGCACTTTTGAACTCAAACAACTATTGAAAATTTCTTTCTTTTGTGTTTTTAGTCGTTTTCGTACAATTGAATACTTAAAACGACTGACATGGACGAATAGTAGCCCCGAACAGTTAGAACGTGCAGAAATGAAGGTCTTAGAAACACTGAAAAGTCAATTTCAAGGCCGTTCTATCCCTGTATGCAATGCTACACAAAAAATCTGGACTATCTATTCGAATATAACTTCGACAAATTATCCCCTGGTACTCGTTCATGGTTTTGGTGGTGGCGTTGGCTTATGGAGTTTAAACCTTGATCAGCTATGTAGCGATCGTCCCGTTTACGCTCTAGATTTGCCTGGTTTCGCCCATAGTAGTCGCCCGGTGTTTAGTCTTGATCCATTAGAAGCTGAAAAACAATTTGTAGATATGATAGAAGAATGGCGAATCGGAATCGGACTGAATGAACCGTTTATACTACTTGGGCATAGTTTTGGTGGCTTTATAAGTACTTCATATTCAATACAGTATCCAACATATGTCAAACAATTAGTTTTGGTGGATCCATGGGGTTTTGGATATAAACCAGCTAATTGGCAAACGTCACCCATGCAACGTATTCCACCGTGGTTAAGATCGTTTTCATCCGTGATGATGAAATTTTCTCCATTAGCTGGTCTACGAGCAGCAGGACCGTTTGGTATGAAATTGCTTTTGCATAATCTCAACCTTTTGCTAATTTGATTGGAATAGGTATTCGAATCATGAAGTACTTTCGGGCCGATCTGCGAAACAAATTCGAAACACTTTTTAACGATGATCGAATCTTAGTTTATTTATATCATTGTAACGTTCAAATTCCAACGGGTGAAGAAGGCTTTCGAACAATAAGTGATTTACTAGCGTGGGCGAAACGTGCGTTTTTTTTTCTACGTTCATTCTCTTGCTTCATTAGCACCTTTCTTCTAGGACCTATGCTTGATCGAATCGATGAATTAGATCCACAAATACCAGTATATTTTCTCCATGGTGAACAATCATGGATCGATATTGAGTCATCTGTCTGCGTACAATCAAAACGTTCGAATGTTTTTGTTGATATGATTCCACAAGCCGGTCACCACGTAAGAGATGTTTGTTGAGATAGATTGAATACTTATTCGTTTTTTTCCTCTTCCTATAGGTTTATGCTGACGCACCTGTGGAGTTCGATGTGTATTTAAAACGTGTTTTATTTAATAAATAATGAATGACTATTTCCAATAATTTATTCAAGCTGTCGAGAGTATCTATGTCAATTTTGTGTACCATCTCGGTGCTTCTATTTTTATTACTGTGATTGTTTAATATCTTTGAAAATTCAATAAAATAGACGTGCTTGAAACCAAAATCCTGATATATCAATGAAATAGCGACGAAAAGAACATACATTGAAAAGGTGAAAACGGAAATTAGATCATTGAACGTTTCCTTTGTTCCGGTTGTCTTAATGAGAAAAGAACATGATTTCCTTTTTTCATGTGCGTCTCCTGAATAAACTCGTTTAAATATTCTTCGTCTATGAACACGTGTATAACTGCAAAACATCGATCAAAGACTTGCATTTGCCACTTTGCTATATGCACATTTCTGTTTTTCGTTTATATAATCATCTGTGAAGTTTATCAAAAAAATAGAACTATTACCAGAGGTTGCTCAACAGTACAGTATCCTATATGTATATACTAGTTGATCTATGCTAAACGTGTGATTTTTTTTATGAACGATTGTATAAGAACAATACTAGTCTATTTATTTCCTAAACATGATTTTCCATTTCCCTTACCTCTCAGATTGTCAAGTACCATCATAAATATGAGATCAGTTGGAGTGTTTTCACGACTCACGAGTTCAGAAAATTCTTTTCATTATCAAATCATGACAAACTACCTAATGTAATGTTCTTCAACGCCAAGGATGAGTCAAAATGTTTTTCTTTATTATTATTGGTATGAAATCTTAAAAATGATAGAATAGACGTATTGAAAGAAGACCGAGAAGTATTTTGTACGGAATCAGCGAAGAACCTTTCGAATCAACAGTAGGTTCAACTGTTAGTGGAGGGTGCATAGAGAATCGAATGGCATTAAATACCGATTGTTGATTCAATGCTTTGATGTAGACAGTTTGTCGTCCAGGATTCAGAAGAAAATCTCCAACAGACACCCAGCGTGAAACTGTTGTTTGCTGATTGTAGACATATCCATAATCACCATCGGTTTCATCGTACGCGTCTGTAACAGCAACATTGATTCGTGACGTGGCACCTGAGGTTGAGTTGAGGTACGATGGATT